TTGGAAAGAGTAAGTAAGGTAGGAGAATTTCTAGGGCTCGTGCTCTTCACCTAATACCATCACGTTATTTCTATTCTTGACTCACGAGCAGTGAAATAATTAGAGAAAAACATTGTGAGCCTTTCGTTGTCAAAAGATGATCTTTTTCAGAATCAGCTGCAAACTTCAGCTAAAGAACAAGCTCACTAAGTCTCCCTTATAGACCTTTGGTGGGGTGATAATGATTTTAACCGCTATTCCCAGGTGGTTCTTAGATGAGAACAAGAACTGTAGGGAAGAAGACAAAGACCATATGTAATCTGTGCATTTGTTATCCGTAGGTAAAATAAAACCAGGGAAAAAAATCCCTCTGTGTCATGCTATAAATAGTCGGGGGGGTTTGTTTTGTCTCTCTTTTTGTTTTCACAATGAACAAAACTTTCTGAGACAGACATAAGTGCTTTATAATTGGGGGGGCAAATCACAGTGTAGTTTTTCATCTAAAAACCATAATTGCCATATGCCACAGCATGCGTCGACGAGAATTTTAATGGTCAGATTTACACTCTCCCACTCTGCCAGTGAGGTAAATGCAAGCAGTGAATGTGTATGCACATAAAATTAGGTGGACTTAAAACACACACAAAGGGCTTTTTTTTGAAGGGAAGGGTGTCAACGAACTTAATTTACTGTGTGCATAAAAGTCCTAGAGACGATGCCTAACTGTGTTACGATCGTGTGTGTTTCCCAAGGGTGGAGGAACAAGCCCGTCTGATGGAGAATGATTGCTGTGTAAACGGAGAGAAGCTCTCATCGGTCATAATGCTTATTGATAGGCACGTTCACCTTTGAATTCATTTCTGAAAACGGGCATCCGTTTATTCCTGTGGCCAGTGGAGGTTCATTTAACTCGTGGCCATGGCCACAGCATTTAATCTTGTCAACATGCAACGATGCCTAAAAATACTCACTCTGAAATAGAAACACCTGTGCGTGAAGGGTTTTTGTCTTCACCACTTTGTGACGGGAAAAGGTAACTGTGGAAATGGGCACAAGGAAAATCCGATGCAGCTGTTTTCCCCTTTCGAGGCAAAGACATTTTGAATTTGCAATCAGTTGTCTGCCACTCAGAATGACACCATTGTGTCGTAGGCCTTTCCTCTTAAATCGACACAAGTGGCCACTCCGTTCCCAAGACTAGGACCTTGCTTGGTCGGACAAAGTGGAACGCTGTGTTCCCGTGGCAACTGGGCTAATTGTGTGGAAGAGACACAAGGCATATCTGAACAATTTTTTTTCTTTTTCTTTTTATTGTGATGAAAACTAGAAGTTCTTTCCCCCAACATACTTCATCAAACTATTTACAACCTCTGTAAAATTTGTGAGTTTGAAAATATTTTTTTTCTTCTACCATCACATTACGAATACAGGAAAATAACTTCAATCTATTTTTTTTTAAGATGCAGTATTCTCCTAGCTCATTTTCTTAAGAAACTCTGGATTTCTATTTGCAATTGTTCAGCAGTTAGCATACTTAAAGTACCAATGGGTGTGGCTTGCGAAATAGACATTGCTCTACAATGAAACTGTGAAAATATAGTATTTTGTTTTATGTACATTTCTTAACTACAAAACGCAGGCAGTCATATATAGCATAATAAGCGGATTCCCTAACAAGGTAAACAACTTACATTCTAGATAGCATGGGTTATTACAAATGTCCTTTTAAAAAATTCCTTGTTGAAACTTAAGTGTGCATAGCCAACAACTGCCTATACCGATGTGTATACACATGTGTAGGTGTGTGTGTGTGAGGGGCTGTATAGGTGAGTGGGTGGCAGTAAGGGGTGAACAGAAATATCATATGGAAGACACGGCTTAGTGAACCCTTTTTCTGTAACAACAAAAGTGAATCAAATTGTAAAAGACTTTCTTAAGGGATGCACGATCTCAGAGAAATGAACGATCGGATCAATGGCATTGCAACTGAATATAATTTACCCGCTAACCTACAGGCATTAGTACGGAGCAAAAATCTGAGACAGGATTACAGATTATGACTATTAAGGCTTCCTGGACCTATGATGATTCAAAAAAACAAAACAAAACACGGTTTATCACTACAGTCCCTAACACACAGACTGTACCTCCCCACAAAACACAGGGGCTGGTCTTCTTTACACTGTCCATCTTGATTCTGTCACTCCTCACTAGAAATGGTAAGCTACCTGGAGTAACAACAACAAAGGCTACCTTTCTAAGCAGTCATAACAAAGGCGTGGCCAAACACTTGAAGGCCTCCCCTCGCCAGGTTGATTTGATTGCACTTGGCAAGTATAAATACAGTCCAGGATAAGGAATACTGCGTGCTTATCCATACACAGAGAGTCCGTCTAATGATGGCTAAAATACAAATGACCGTGTGAAGTTAAAGGGAAAATAATGTATAAAATCCCCAAACAAGGTTTTTGCATAAACTATTCCAATGTCCGAGCAAATAACAGCCTTTGCAATCATCTAGAACTGGCATTTGCCACGTGCCCCGCTATCCCACTCCCAACCACACTCCTTGCCCTTGAGTCGATGGTGACTCTTGGTCCTATGGGGCAAGGGAGAACAGCCTCTGTGTTTCTGAGACTGACTGTTAATGGGTGTAGAAAGCCCCCTTCTCTTTGTCCCAATTTGCTGCTGGTGGCTTTGAACTTCGGATCTAGTGGTTAGCAGCCAAAAATCACGACGCTACCAGAGCTCACTGGCATTTGTAAACACTCACAATTTCTCAGTCATTTCCCCAGACAATGGTCTTGCTATTTCCCGCTTATGCTTGGAAGTGAATAAAGAGTCCATTGGAGAAAAGGACAAGTGGCTTATGTGACAATTTAACCGAGTTGGAAACTGAGTGTCCTGCCATGTTTGCCCACCAATGACTGACAGGAGGCGGCTACAGGGAGCTGAGAGAAGAAGCCCCTAACAACTTTAGATGAGAATATGTGAAGGGACTTGGCCACACCTCCATCAGAACCTCCTAACCTTTCCTTGAAATCCTTCGAGCTTCCCTGAAATCAGCCTCTACCATGCCAAGAGCGCATGTGTGTCTAACACAGCCTCTGAAAGGGCGGCAGCGATGTGCATATGTGCTTGGAAACATACAGATAAACCCCAGCTGCAAACCCAAACATCTTCAGACATCTAGCCAAAGGATCGCTTCTAGTGAAGGGACACTTTGCTAGTGCCTTTGGGACCCTACCTCCCCCACCTTCTTCCCGCTGTTCATTGTGTGCTTGCTTTCAGGGACCGAAGATGCTCTGGGGTCTTTCCCATGCTGAACGGCGTCTCCCCTGAAAACAAACCAAATCCCCTTTCCTACTGTCCCAAATCGTGTCCATTTCCATGGGAAACACCCAGAGCAAGCTCACTCAGGGCCTGGTTTCCACCTCCCTGCTCCAGCAGCCTCTCGCTCACTGGGGCTGGCCTCCCTCTGGAGAAGTTCTGATACCTTCGGAGAGAGAAACGGTGGAACGCTGACAGGCTTTCTCGTTTAACTTACCGTTTCAGTCTGGTTTCCACTTTCAGAGGGTAAGAGAAAGAGCTCATTTCCTCGAATCTTCCTATGCTAGTAGAGAGATCATTTAGTTATGTGCTAAATTTAAATCAAGCGGTTCGTAACTGCAGGGGCTCCCATTGCCTGCCAGTGCTGTGAAGTCTTATCACCATTTCTACCTGTGACACTCCCAAGGTCTCTCCCAGCAGAGAAATGGATTGGTCCTTCCGATGAGCAGAAAAACAGACTTACAGCAACTCCACACTGTACCTGAGTGATTCATCTACTTCCTGCCAACGAGGTTCTTGGCTTAGCTCAGAGTTTATGGTTGCACTGGCCATGAACCCTTGGGGACCTTTGCCCCTGACCTGTCCCCAACATTGGCCTGCATCAAAAAGCCTTTTTGCTATTTTGAATGGTCACAATGTGAAAAAGGATTTGCGTATAGTACATATTAAATAAGAGAATTTTCCAGTTGGTTAAAAAACAGCACCCCCCACCCCCCACCCCCACCCCCTGTTCGGTGGTTCATGGGATGATGTAACCAGAGGAGCCACCTAACAATGGGAATCACAGCCCTTGTTGGAGGGACATTGCCAACGGACTGTTTTTGGTTTCCATACCTGGCAGAAAGTGTAGCGGATGCAATTTCGGCAGACAGAATTTGACCTGGACAAGCATGATTCCTTTACTTACACGTCCGTCAAGTTTCTTTGGAATACCACCCAACACAGCTCCCCCTTGCTACGGAGAGGACGCTGTCTTCCTCTGCCAGACAAAAGGATCTGCATTAGGAGAGAGTCCGCAGGAGGCCAACTCTGTAAACTGACGTGATGTCACCAGGTTCGAAATGGTTGAAAACACGGAGCTAGTACTGTGGTGAGGTTAATTTGTGCAAGTCCCCCGATCAAGTGTTGGCCATTAAAAGATATTGCAAAGGTCTCTCCCGAAGACCTTTCGACCTAAGCTATAAAAATTCCTTAACAGCAACAAGAACCACAAAACCTCAGCAAACCCCTTAGCCAGGTGGGGGTCAGAGGGACACAAACTAGAACAAATCCAAAACCCAGCTTTCTTTTTTGATTTTTTTTTTTTCCTGAAAGAATGCTTGTTGGTAATGTATTGCTTTGCTTACTGTATACTTTTAGTTGCAAAAAAGGCTCATCGTTTGCGGGATTGCTGGGATGGTTGCCTTTTTCCTTAGTGTGGGATCAGTTGGTTGACATCCCTGTGGATGTCAAGGAACTGTTGGGTCCTCAGCCGGGTGAGGAACCGAATTCTGTACAGGAGGATGCGTGGGCAGTTCCCTGCGCTTGGCTCTCAGAGAAGGGACACTAGCACCGAGTGGTCTTTCCTCCAGGAGTACTTCCCTTCTGCTGACTGAGTTCCCAAGGAGAACTGACCCATTCCCCTAAGAGTTAATTCCCTGCCCTGCCTCCCTTACCGTTCCAGTCACCAAAGAAGTGTTTTTAAACCAGCAGAGGGGGAGCAGAATCTTTAATTGTGGTTCTCAACCAAGCGAGACAACAAACAGCAGAAAGATTACCTCGATGCTGCAAATGGAACCAAGACGTGGAAAACGGCCGGGGTGTTTCTTACAATCCCTTTAGTAAGTATGACAACTGGTAACGTGAGTCCTCAGTGCGGTGATTGTAGCAAAGTCCTTTCATTCGTTATTGCTGTGCGCCTCAAGAGGCGCATTCTTTCCATCTCTGCTTTGTCTGACTTTTCATGTTCACTGACTTTGCCTGGGCAGCCCCACCTCTTACCCTGGTGCCAGTGTGTCTAAGGAAGTTTTTATGCCTGCCCCCTCCCCCCTGGTTCCTTGTAATCAAATACTACGGGCCGGGAAAGATGATGTCTAGGGGACAGAACACTGCAATTTGAAGTAGGACAGTAGTTTTTGTTTTTAGACAGGCTCTTCCTATTCAACTACGGGACACCTCTGTGCCAGTCCACACCGGGGGCGGCAGACGTGGGGCCTACACTTCTGCTGACATGTCGCTGCCCCTCCGCTTACACAGATGAACAAGGACAACAAAAAGAGCAAAGAAAAGAAAAAAAGCAGAATAAGTACAAACCCAAAACGATCAACAACGAGCAAATGCAAGGTTCAATGTTGGTGTTCTTCAGGGCATGGCATGATGGCAAGTGGCTGGTGATCCCTAATTGCCTTCATCGCAGGGCGCGCCTGGGGGCCCTCTCTTTGCAGGTCAGGGAACCTCAACAACAGCTTCCCCCTTCCTACTCTCCTGCTGCTTGCTGATAACCGATTGGATGTGTGTGCGCTACCTTACTGAGAAAGGAACTCAAATGGAGCTTTTTTAGGTTGCGGTTTTGTTTTGTAAAAAGGGGGGGAGGGGGGTGAAGGAGGAACCCCAATTTAAAAGGTCATGCGCTAGTCATCACTGGGTGGTAGTGGACCTTTCTGTTATCAAGAATAAAACGTCTGGCAGCTCTGAAAATGTACACGCTACAAACATCTTTGCGTGGCCGAGTGAGTCCTCCGATGGACAATGCCTATCTCCGGAGCCAAGTCACGGCTCATCTCCCGTCGGCGTGAAGATGTTACTTGGGCGGGGGGTTACCTTCAGACCAAAAGGTGGAAGTGTTACTTCTTTTAGGGGTTTGTTTTGTTTTGTTTTTTCCTGCTCTGGTTTCAGACATCGTGGGAAGGTGATGCCCTGTTGTGTTAACACTGTGGAGGGGATCCAGCCCTGCTGCATCAGGTGCCACTAAGAGAGAGATCCAGCGCTTACGCTCAGCTGGACCCATAGCGTTTCTCACACCAGCATATGCCTCCGTCGGTGAAGCGCCAAGTGGTCCGAACGGGAAAAGCTTCGGTCGCAGTCCGCGCACTTGAATGGCTTCACCCCCGTGTGTTTGCGGTAATGCCGGGTCAGTTCATCGGAACGCGCAAACTTCCAGGTGCAGCCTTCCCAGGTGCATTTGTAGGGCTTCTCTCCTGAAAGACACAAAGGACATGACTTTGGTGCTCTGTCTCTAACGCCCCCCCCAGCTGACCCAGCACCACTTCCTGGTGGGAGTGGTCCTCAGTGAGGTTCTGTTCTCTTCTGTGATCCTTTGGTGGGAAGCCTTACCGCCCACGGAGTGGGGGCTGGAGTCAGAATGGGGCGGTTGGGCAGGATTCCATAGCATGCCCTTGAAGGTGACCTCTGACCAGGGAATTAACACTTGCATTTTCACTGACTGAGTTAAACCCACTTAGTAGGTGAACCTCCAAAAGGCATAGATTGAAGAAAGACGGGGCTTTCTACTCCCATCCAGAGTTTCCGTCTCAGTTCTACCCTGTCGTGTACCGGGTCCCCTGGATTGGGTGGATCAACTTGGATGTCAGTCAGTTTGGGGATGTCAATCACTTACCATGGGTGGACTAAAAAGGGACTTTACCTGGTTGGACATGCCTCCAAGACTGCTAGTCAAGAGAGAATTGCAACGGCTAATTAATCATGTTTTGTTCTTCCACACCCCCAGATCCACCCCAGGAGGTCCTCCCACCCCATGTGCTGCACTTGGAGGATGTAAGGATATTTTAAGGCAAAAGCCATGCATCAGTTACCAAGGATTCACACAAAAGTACTCTCCATCCCCGGAAGTTAACTGTTAAGTCCATCTGAATTCATTTGCGTGTCCGCTGGGAACGAATCCTGGATATCTCAATAGTGGAAAATTTACGTCCCCCCCCTCCACTGACTTAAGAGTTAGAGGTGAACCCTGAAAAAAATCATCAAGTCAATGGAGCCCCGGAACTCATGGTAGAAAGCAGGCTGGAGAAGTATGTAATCTGACCAGGCCCCTCACTGGATTTGTAAGGACAGTAGACTACGCAGAGGCTTTGCTGGGAAAGATACTCTATCCGGCGACCAAATGAGCTCCCAGTGGGGACAGGACAATAGCTGACCCAGGTGAGCCGTTTTCTTGGCTTTTGCTCAGAATGGAAGTCCTGTCCCCGTGCAACCCCACAAGAACTGCTTTCTCCTCTGTCCCTTCCACCCAGCAGCCAACGCTGTGCTTTCTGGGGACTGGATGATGTCACAGGGATTCTTGCAACAAAGGCCAAAGACAGGGAACGGAGCTGTGTGCTGATCCCTAGAGAGAGAGCGACAGAGTGGGCGTCCTTAGCCTCACTTCATAGATGAGAAAACGGAGGCTCAATGAGTGAAAAACAACAAACCCCCCAAAACCAACTAGCCCAAGACTAGAAAAAATTTACAATTGGCTGTAAAACTGCAATTGTTACTAAGCTACCTTGGAACGGATAGAGCTTTCTCCGTATAAGCTTTAGTTAGTATTTTTGTGGCGTTTCCATGTTGGGTATTCCATATTTCTATTATATCGCTTATCAAGAAGGATCATCAAGATGTGTTTCGCCTTCTTCCCTGTGTTTCTGGATAATTGGAACGCTGGAACAGGTCACCGCCCACTCCAGTATCCCGGGAGCCGAGACTCGGCGTCAGCGAGCGCTGCAGAATGTGCACGATTCTGGTGCACCTGCACGCACACAGAAAGGGTCACAGAAAGCCACTGACTCGCTGCCCTCAAGTCAATGCTGACGCACAGTGAGCAGCCCCTTTCCCCTGGGGGGCTGTTTCTGAGACTGGGACCGTTTACAGGAGGAGAAAGCTCGGAGTATCCCCCGTGGAGCTGCTGGTGGTTTGAAACATGCTCACCAGGCAGCTTGCAGGCCGATGCTCACCAGAAAGCCAGGGAGCCCCATCCATCAGACGTCCTCATCACTCTTACAGGAGAAGCTCTGCTGAACTGGACTCAAGGTGGGGTTTTTTTTCATTCAGCTGGTTGTGGCGCGTAAGTCAAAATGTATTGCTACTGCTAATACTACAGAGTACCAGAAAGATGGTGATGATGCTCTGACATGGAAGGTGGTGAAGAGCGAACAGCTCTTTTGAAATTGTTGAGACTTTTAAGTATGTTCAATAACTGCACGATGTGTGAATGCTATGGCAATAAAACTGTTCACATTAAACCCCAAAACTTAATGCAACACATTTCCAGATACTTATCTCCAGGTTCCTTTACATCACGAGGTCCTGGAAATTGAAACCAGGAAAGGAAAACAAGACACAGCAAACAAAACCCATGTTGCCACTAGGATTCCCAGAATATATACACGCGAGCGCATTCCCAGCAAAACGTGTCGCCAGGTCTTTGTAATACTGGATGGCTGCAGACAGGTTCTTTTAGAAATACCCTGGTCTCAGTGTTCATACGCACACGGCACCTTCATAAGAAGGATTGTGTGTGCACGCCACAGGGCAGAAAGGGGATTGTTTAAGGTCAGGGGTTCATAGAAAATATTTTTGAATAAAAGTCCAGTAGGACATTTTCCACGTCATTAAAGCTTTGCAACAAGTTTGTGGAAAAGTTGCCTCACAGAGAAGAGAGTGTTCACATGGCTCAAACGTGTTCGCGGAGTCAGAATTCCTCAGAAGAAATTAAGGCAGAGAGGCCAGCTCAGGACGTTGCGGTGGCCGCTTTGTAGAGTCAAAGGAGCTGGCCTGACAGATTTCTTGGAGGGCACAGACAACCAAAGGGGTTGACCAGGAGCAGGTTCTGAGAAAGCGAAAAGGACCCAGGAAGTTGGGTGGACTCACTGCGTTTCCCTTCACGACAATGCAGCGCTTTGTCGCTTTGTCGAGAGTAGTGAGGGCCGTCCTATGAGAAGTCCCAGGGACCCCTGACCCCCCACCCCTCATAGCCCCTGCTCTTGCCCCTTCGGACTTCTTTTTGTTCCTCACGCTCAAGAACATTGAAAGGACACACGACGTGAGAGGGCAAAGCTGCCGTTTGGACACGGGGTCACTCGACGAGGTTGGAGCTCTTAGGGAGCCACAGAGACGGGGGGCTCTGCCCGCAGCAGGGCCTCGACCTGGGCAGAGGGCGCGTTGACCAACAGCTGCCCATGTGCACAGTCTCAAATAAAGGCTCCTCTGGCTTTGTAGCAACACTGCTTACCTGCCCTCCGCGTCTATGGGCCATTTCAGGACCCAGTCGCCCATTCGGAAGTAAGGGACTGGGGTCCACGCCCAGGCAATCAAGTCCCAGCGACGCACCGATTGTGGCCCATTCCAAGTCTCGGCAGCTCTGAAAGGGCTCTTTTCAAATCAGAGAATATTGACCAGACTGACCCCAAACGTTCACTTCTGACTCATTCTGATGTCCTACGGTGACAAAAACCTGCATTTGGGGGTACACTACTGATGAGAGTGGAACAGAAATTTAAAAATAAATCAGCAAAACCATTAACCAAGAAAAAAATAAAAGATTGGAGGTGTTATGTAGCATCAGATTGATGGCAACTATTAGCATGCCTTTATGCGTGAACCTGACATGTCTTTGAAATTTACATCATTAGCCTGGGCTGTAATAAACGGAGTGCACAATAATTCATCTCTTCAAAAACATCCACCTTTGGTGCACTTAGCCTCACTTGTTGGGTGTTTATCACAGAGAGGCACCTCCTACTCCTTTCCGCTGTTACCATGGAGCCAGCTGGGGAGGGAGCATGATTTCTGAAGCGTTTCTCGGGGCACGGGGAGAAGACGTGTGCTGCTTTCTGCGTGAGAGTCATACAATGGGCAGGCCTCCTCGGCTCGGATTAGAAAGCCTGTTGATCCCGATTTTGCCAGTTTTTTTTAAACAATTAAAAAGCTTGTTTACTTAGGAGCACTGAGAATGTCAACACAAGTCTTACTTTCTTTTTTTGATATGGCTTTCAGTTAACGGAAATATTGGTTGGTGCTGGCTACATCAAGGACAGCTGAAGACAAAGCACAAACAAACAATAAAAATCACTGTCTCTAGCTGTACCGCACTTGTGCGCCACACCAACAAAAGACTGCTTTAAACCCCCATGCCGTCTTCAAGGATTGAAGATAAACAAGCTGAGAAGCAACCAAGCCCACATGGAAGAAGCACACCAGCCTGTGTGACCACGAGATGTCGAAGGGATCTGGTATCAGGCACCAAGGAACAAAAAAATCATATCATTGTGACTGAGGGGGAGTGCGGAGTGGAGACCCAAAGCCCATCTGTATGCAAATGGACACCCCGTTACTGAAGGGGTTGTGGGGAGGAGATGAGCCAGTTAGCGTACAGTGTATCAATGGTGAAACATACAACTTTCCTCTAGTTCTTAAA